TATATATATATATATATATATATATATATATATATATATATATATATATATATATCATTGGGTATCTGTGCTTTGCTTGGGGTGCGCATGCGATCATGTGGAGATGTATTGGCTGAGATACGGCTGAAGAACAGCGAGAAAAGTTTCAAGAAATTTGAACTATGCATACATGCATGCAAGGATGCATGCAAGCATATATATATATATATATATATATATATATATATATATATATATATATATATATATATATATATGTGGATGTTTTGGTGTTGCAGGTCAGGTGCCGCATTCCTGGGATGACTACGTACGAGGGTTGCCGGTGCTGGACGAGTTAGAGTTTCCTGAGATTCGTCCTTTATTGAAACGTTTAGATAAGAAACCTGTGGTGTTGATGTCTATGCCGAAGCCACGTGCCCGTCTTGCTTCTTTTTTGGGGTTGACAGAGGAGCAGAGAGAAGAAGGAATTGTTATTAAGGGGAAATCTACTGCTGGGTGTAGCCCCAAAGAAGTAGCGTTTGAATTGTTTGCTCACGAGAGGCTGGCAAAGGGGTTACCTTTGTCGCTTCCTGCTTTGGGGGCTTTCAGGGATATAGATGGCAGTACACTCTACCTTATAACACCAAGGGCCCGTGCTGATGTTTCTCTTTATACAAGACGCATGCCAGAGAAGGTGACCCTGAAACTTGCCTTCGCTGAGATGATCTATGGTTTATGGGGCATGCATAAACGGGGCTGGGTGCATCGAGATATAAAAGGGTGTAATTATTTCGTAAGTCAAGATGGACATGCATTGCTTGCAGACTTTGAGGGTTTCTGGAGAAGCGGCATGCATGCAATTATGTATGGAGAAGAAGTTGAAATAATATTCACAGAACATTACATTGCGCCAGAGTTGACGTTTGATGGCGAGTATCAGGTCTTTGATTATAAAACAGATGTGTTTGCCCTCGGGGTCACCTTCAGAGAAATGTTAGAATGGATGGGGAGTTTACCTGTACCCCATAGAGATCTAGCAGAGGATCTAATTAAACATATGACGGATGCTGATACAAGAAATAGATACGATCTGCCTCAATGCATGCAGCATCCATATTTTGAAGGAATTGACTTTGAACTTGTTGAAAAAAAAATGTACGGGAAGGCATTTGAGGGGAATTACCAGACGCCATACAAGTTTCTTTGATGTGCTAGACAACCCCAGATGTATATACACTGTAGGCCCCCCCTCTTTTTCTTTTATACCCTGCACACTGCACGATATATACGGGGAGAAAGAAATAGAGGGGTATTTCAAGGGACAAGCGGCGTTGGCAGGCCCCATGCATGCATGCGTCCCCTGGGACTGCAAAAGCACAGAAACGACGACGGCAGTAGATAGCACCTTCATGTTTTCATGGTGCTTGGCTTGGGTCTTTGTGCCTCTTCTCTTCCCGGGGCCCCGGGTGATCTTCTTGTGGCTCATTGGCAGGTTGTTAGGTTAGCTTCAAACAGAATTACAACGCCCCATGGAGTACAGGCACCTCACGCATGCCTCCTCTATAGGGCCTCTTCAGTGGTTTCAGGCTGCTGCAACTCCTCTCTGCATGCAGAGGGGAAAGCGGCGCTTAATAAGAGACTTGTATTGCTGCCATTTGAGGCCAACTATTTTCAATAAGCCACTAAGTGTAGCAAACCATTGCAAATTCAAACAACACCCCTGTACATGCAGACCCGACACGTGTCTATACACCCCAACCCTGACACATTTCTTCTCTTCATGGGGGTATGAAACCCTAAAAATTAGGGTTTACAGTCGAGGGTTTAGGGCTACGCTGTAGGCACTGTACGCAGTTCACCTTCTAGCCGTCACCCTGTACTGCTGGTAAACCCTAAACCCTAATCTCTGTACCCAGAAACTATAAGATATATATATATATATATATATATATATATATATATATATATATATATAAGCTATATATGTATATGCAAANATATATATATATATATATATATATATATATATATATATATATATATATAAGCTATATATGTATATGCAAAAGAGCTGAGAACGTAACCCATGGACCCCGGAGCCCTCTTACACGACGTACTGTGCGTACACTGAAACGCAAACACCAATTCAAGAAAAAGACGGAAACCAAACAGCAGCCCCAAAGGAGGGGTGAGGTTTAAGTCGGGTGTTCTTGCAGTTGCTCTGCAGAGCAGCGGTGCGGCTGCAGCAGCAGCTGCTGTTGCTGCTGCTGCTGCTGCTGCTGTGTCTGCTACAGGTGTTGCTGCAGCAGGTGCTGCAGCAGCAGGGCCACTACCTTGACATTAACAGAGTTGCCTACAAGTGCTGCTCTCTTTCGAAAAGGCAAAGAAGGAGGAAAAGAAAAAGTTTCAGGGAATCCATGCAGCCGCAGCAACTCACGAGAAGAAAAAAAACGAATGCTTTCCCCTGCACGCAGCCGACGGAAACGGCTGCTCTCTAAGGTTTGTGTTGAGAGTACTGCAGCAGCTGTTTTTGCTGCTGCTGTATCTGCTGTTGCTGCAGCTGTTGTTGCAGTCATTCCTGCTGCGATTGCTGCCGTTTCCGGTGCTGCTGCTGCGGTTGCTGCCGCGTCGCTTGCTGTTGCTGCTGCTGCTGCTGCTGCTGCTGCATCCGATGCTGCTGCTGCTGTCCTCGCTCCTGCTGCTGGAACCTGGGGGTGTTGCTGCTCATCAGAAACGAGGAGAAGGGGGCCCCCTGAATGCAGGTTGCGTCCGTACCCCTTCGTGAAGGTGCCGCATGCAGTGTGGTTGGGGCTGACTATTTCAAGTCTGAAACCGTTGTTTCTATGCGTTGGGGTTTTTGTGTGTTTTTTGAATTGTGTTTCCTCCCCTGTAGCCTCAGCATCACCGTCTGTGTCGCTGGAGTTGCTGGGCCTGAGCACGCCCTCAGCCTCCTTTTTATTTGTTTCTGTTTTCTGTTTCTTCTCTGTCTCTCTCTCCGTCGTTTCCACATCAAAAAAACGACTGAGACGAGCAGCAGGGATGCGTACAGCTTGCTGCTCCTCAACCGAAATATTCGGCTCCAAGAAATCCCCTATGCAACGCAATTCAAAACCTTCAGCAGGTGGGGGGCCCCCAGGGGGCCCCCATGATAATACGGGGGGCACCAGCTGCAGATCAGGCACGCCAACACTGAGATTCAGAGATATATCTTGCTGTTCTTCACGATGAATATGCTGTTGCTGCTGCTGCTGCTGCTGCTCCTGTTCTTGCTGCTGGTGCTCCTGTTGCTGGTGGTGGGAGTGCTGCTGCTGGGCTACACATACACGCTGCTGCTGCCCTTGCTGCTGCTGCTGCTGCTGTTGCAGCTGTTTCAGTTCTTGCTGCAGGTCATGAGCTGGGTGTCTGCATGCTAAGCAGTAGTATCTGACTCTTGTATTTGGAATTCCTATTTGTGTGGGTGATAGAAGGAAATGTTGAACTG